GTCCCTCCCTAGCTGTTGTTGAATGGAATGAGTTAGGTACGCTTAATGAAGACTATGTCATGGGCAACATTAGCACACCACAGCCCCAAACACCACCTTCAAATGAAACAGAAGTGCCTCCCACTAAATTTTGATTCAACTTCTTGGCCATGAGCACACTTTCATGAATCGAAGTGAAATCAACAGGCTTGCTCATCTGTCAGGACCTAAGATGTTTAAGTTCCTTGCCTTCAACCTTGCTGATGCACAGGTAAACCCAAAGGTTCTCAGAAAATTTCCTACCTTGCTTTCCTTAAAAGTCTGGGGAACCAAAGAGGATAGATAGAAGGTAGAGGAATCATTGTACAGTTAAGAGATACATGTGATCCATGTGATCTTGTAGTTTGTAGTGTTTTACATCCGAGTCCGTCCCTGTAAATCTATATTATACCTTTTGTTTGCATTACTGTGTCAAGTAGAAGAGCTGCTTTTAGATTAACTTGACATAATGTATGGTGAATGAATGAGATGATGTACTTTATCTATCGACTACATTATGCAAAGTTTGGTACTAGAATTATAGAAGCTAATTAGTTCTACTGCCTGAACAAATGGTAGGTGCTTCTAAGAAGTTCTCTCCTCTTCATCTGTTAAACATTCCTTAGGAACTGATCAGGAGCTAACACGAAAATTCTCATCTCCAGTGGAGATATCACAGAGAAAAGGGAAGCATAGTTATACAATTATGTGAAACAGGGAAATGAAGTTGGAAGTCTCCAGACAATCTACTTTTCTTTCTCAACCTTCTTTCCTATCCAACTTGCAACAATGGGAGTAAGTGCCACAGTTGGAGGGAACCTTATCGGAGATGCAGCCTTGTGTGCGGCATATGCCAAAGCAAATGTCCCAACTTTCTCCTCGGTCTCATTCGCCGAAATTCCAACCTAGAAATACCAGATAATGCACGGTTAGCCAGAAAGTTCTCTGGTTCATGAGAATAAAAATAAGTGAAGTCTTCAATCATATACTAAGCGTTTCTTGTGCCTTTACCTTTTGCAGCAATGCTTGAACATCAACTCCGGCGCTAATTAATGCATAGCAAAGTGCGAATGAGATCAAGGAGAGAGTAATGGAAGTGGCCAGGTATGCTCCTCCATATTTGGCTAGCAGCTCCTTGGCTTGGTCTCCCTTTGACTTCTTTTTCTCACCTTCTTCCTTTCCTTCCTCCTTGGACCTGAATATCTTCACATAGACACGAAGCAATTAGTGGGTTTATATCTCAGCAGCCAATTGATGACAAATTGAACACAGATGAAGCAATTATTATACAAAACAAAACTGGAGGTGAACCCAGATGAGAAAAGAAAAAAGGAGTACCTTCCAGAGACCAGCTTCAAGACCATATTTCTTTGTAATCTCCTCAGCAGAAGAAGAAGAAGATGAAGATGAAGATGGGTTTGTAACTTGCTCTGTTTCTTCTTTGAGAGCTCTGATCTTGGAGGTTCTCAATTTTGATTTTGGGGAGGTATGAGATGAAGCAAAGCAGCATAGCCTGGAGTTCTTAATATTCAAGAAAGGGGTAGAGGCAAGAGAAGGGAAAATCAGGGTAGCTGCCATGTCTTTGTTAACCAATCCAAGATTTTCTATCCAAACATAATTTGTTTGAGAGACAAGAAAATCTTGGAAAAACCAGAGATGAGGAATTCAGAACTTGAGATGTTATCTTCAGTTCACCACTCCAATTCGAACAACAATGCCGTATATCTTGAATGACTGTACTACCCCTATGGCTTTGACTATTTTCGTTGAAGCATAACCACCAATAAAGGCATTCATATGTAAGGCTATTCCAGTCATTATGCCTCATCTGCCATTTTTATTTGTTTGTTACACTAGTAGCATATAGTTGGTTAACCCAATGTAGCATATCGAAGGCTAAGTTATTGTTGTTTTGTAAATTATGTTTATATCTTATATTTGAAAGTTAGTAATTAAATAAAGTAAAAAATTTTAAATATATTAAATTAATATAAAGATGTGTTACTAAAAAAAAAAATTAATTTTAAGATGCAGAAACATAAATTTAATAATACTTTATTATAAATAAATAAGTAAACCAATGACTTATTGATTCGAGTGAAAGAAATTCGGTTTTCCTTAAATAAGATTTTTGAATTCGAATCTTGCGAATGAGGAAATATACGTTGGAAGAGTTTCTCCTTAATGGGGTTCAACAAGACTCGATTTCAAATTAATCAGGTTGTTTACACCCATTTTTGCAAAATAGTATAATGATGCCACGTGTCATCCATGTTGGCAGATATTTCATAGTTGAAAGTTGTTGGAGTAAATCTCTGGATAAGATTGAGTGGTTATTTCCACAACTGCAGTAAGGTTGTTGGTTTGTTGCGAACTTCCAGGAGAATAATTGGCAGAATCAACAGAATAATCAGTTTGTTTCAGATTTCATGCTACCGTTGATTGTCAAGTTGCTGTCACAGATTTCCAAGCATGCTGCCAAGGGTGTTTACTGCTATAAAGATGCAAAGAAGAAACGAAGCGAAAAAGACCAGCCTCTCACACAACTAGCCCAGCGCTATCAACATTTTAGTTTTACAAGCAATGTCTTAGTTTAGATCCAGTTTCCTCAAACAGCTTTCCTAATTTAGTCTTTAGCTCTACGCTGCCATTAGTTTTAATTCTGATTTTTGTTATTTCGTTGTGAACATCTTCACCCGATATATTTAGTTTCTTTTGCAATTCAATTTACTGCACTTTACCCCAAATTCATCTTTCTAGCTTCTTTTAAATTTAGTTTTATGCTTCAGCTTCTATTTCATTTTCTACATTTTCATACTTTCGCGGCAGCATAACGCTTTCTTTCTGCAATTTAGTTTTCCTACCATGCACTCTCTTTCTTCTCCTTTCCTTTATTTTCCTCTTTTATTTTGATCAACAAACTAAATTTTAGCCCTAGTTGTGGGAAGTCCCTAGTGTTCTTCCAGGGCAATTATTTATGGATCTTTATGCAGGAATGCACCCCCGTTTCTGCGACAATCGTCTGACCAAGGCGCATCTCATAATTTATTTAATCGGTACTCTTCCATCAACTCGCAGCCAAGTTCCACGCTTGGAAGTAGTGAGGGTCACCGGGAATCCCTCTTTCTCACTTTGAGCAAAGTGAGTGGTACGCCTTCGCAGTCTTATCTGCCACGTGGCAAAAAAGGGAGATTTTGGAGACAACACAGGTTAATAAAAAAAAAAAAGTAAAACAAAATATAAATTACATATGATTGAGTTTGGGTCAAGTAGCAGAATGAAAGTTAACATTACCAATTTTTTATATAAATACACAACCTCTGATTTTGAGCTAAGACGTGAACTCAATACAATATTCACTCAATCCAACACATAGAAATATAGTAGATGCTGAAACACTATCATCAACCTTTCAGGAAGAAGAAATATAATTAATTGTCAACCAGAAACAAAGCAAGAAGAAGAACATAAAGTAATGCTGGTGAACATATCTATGAAGGCGCCCACAATAAATCCATGGTTCTTCTTCTTATTCATCCTTAAGTACCAAGCCAGTAACTCCTCCAGATGTTCCGAATCCTTAATTTCGTAAGCCTCCACAATTTCCTCCATCGAAACACGAAAATCCACATAAGGATCTTCTGTTTCTAATGCTAATGCTACACAGTCCTCGAAGGGGAACCTCAACCTGTTAGCTGCATCCTCTACTGCCAATGCCACACCGTCCTCCAACCGGAACTTGGCTGCATCCAGGATCGAATTAGTATTGCCAGGCTCGAAAAACAACCTGTTTGATCTCAATGCCATGACAGCCATCTCCAGCATGTCTCCAGAGTTGGAAGGTAAGGAGAATTTTGATTGGGACCATGAGCAATCCAGTGCTGTAATAAACTTGGCAGTGTCTGAAAAGACAGGGTTGGCAGCGGCGTTCTTGGACGTGTTGGCTTTGGATATGACTGAAACCGCTTTCAGGTGCTTGAAAGCCAACCATTTCCATGACATCTTACCCTTTGGCTTCTTGAAGATAACGGAAGGGAACTTCATCTTCTTGACCATATTAGGCTTGTGTAAGATGACCCTTTATTTTCTGCACATGATTTGCTAAACTCAAGTATATATAGATGCAGAGCAATAAACGTAAGACATTAATGTTTTATTGGGAAAAGAGAGGTGGAAGGGTGTGTGCCTAACTGTTTGGGGATGCCTAATTGTTAGGGGTCTGCTAAGACGAGCATTAGTATTGCAACTTTATAGATATTAAATTTTTAGTTGATTGTTGGTGAAGAAGAAATGCAAGAGTTTATTGTTAAAAGGACTGAAATTACATGTACTTAATAGGGTAGAAGATATGCTTAACTCAAATTTCTCAACAAATTGGATACTACTAATGAATAGATTGGAGTGACAGTGTTCAAACTTCAAACATGCAAACGGTATCATAAATTATTATTGAATAAGGGCTAACTGCTCGTACTGATTACATGGGTGTCAGTATCATTCATTCAAAGTTGGAGTGGTCATCTAGGAAGTAGCAGTCAAAAAAGGCAAATAAACAGACACCTAGATGGCCTTTGCTACACTACTACCTAACAAAAAAGAACAGCCATTAGAGTAAACAGAACCCCCAAAGGACACCTTAGCAGCTTGTAATCCAACACACTAGACCCAAATTAAGCAGCTTGCAGCAATGGTCTCGTTTTCTAAGTTCTGTGAATTTCAAGGGCTAAAGTCATTTCAAGCTAGTCATCTTGTATTCAAATGAAGTGAAGAAATCAATCCATGTTATTATATTATTTTTAAGTGAAGACTGTTCATATTTGTCCATAAATTTCTCAAAAAAATAACAGTTTGACTCTTCACATTAAGAAAAATGTAAGAATAGGTTAACACTTTCTTCACTACGTCAGAAAGATGATTATAGAAGTCATTATCCAATTAATTTTTAGGGAATTACCTAACACCTACCCTCAAATTGGGCGATAGCCTGCACTAATAATTCTTGATGAGTTGGTAATGTACATTTAACACTTAAATTTATATTAAAATTTAAATTTTTAGTAAAACAGTTATAATACTTTTTTCTTCTATAAAATTCCCCTTTTCAAAAATTAAAAAAAAAAAAAGGGATTATAGCCTTACATATAATTGAAAGAAGGTTCAAAGAACTAACATACTGGGGACAACCGTGCACATGTTGGAAACAAAAAAAAAAAGAAAAGAAAAACGAACAAAGAAAAAGGTCTTGGAATATTTTTAAATTATTATGGAATGGTATGGTACAAACTTTCTTTTAACAAATTAATTAAATAGGATTATGTTATTTAATCATAATTAAGAAAACGCTAATACACTTCTAATCCATACAACACGCCGGCATGCTTTTCCGGCCCGTCTTTTACAAAGTAAACGTCTCTCATCCTCTGAAACGCGTGCCACGTCAACAACGAATCCGATCCGGCCTGATGGCATTTCCCCACCGCTCGGCTCACAGCTAGTGTCCCGGCGACTCGATCCAACCCGCCGTACAAGCTATCACAGAACCGCATCATGTGCTTCAGATCATACACCCTGTCTCCGAAGAACACCCGGAGAAGGCTCAGAAACCCGTCCAAGCCGTCCGGCAACGCCCGGCGGGTTAGGATCTTCACCAGATAACCGAAATCGTAAGCGCTGTGGAACGTCACCCAACTCACTAAATCGTTGCAAACCAGGCCCGATGACATCATCAACTCAGCGAACCGGAACGAGTCAACACCCTCTTCCCTGTTCTTCTCAAAATCAATCCCTTGCCGTCTCAATAGCTCGATGGAGTCGGGTGCATAATTGTCGCGGGTAAGGTCGAAGTCCCGGAAGTTGAACTCCCATATAAATTGGGTTCCCGTCCCCAGATCCGGAAGGTTACCGGAAGCATCGGAAAAGGTGAGACCTACTTGGATGAGGTTCAAGGCATCAACGTTAGATTTCAGCATTTTGTAGTGATCGGACTGCCGTCTTTCGCGGCTGTACGGCACCGCTGATTTGTAAATCAGACCAGGGAACTCCGTATCCATGGAGATAAAAGGGTAGTCATCAATCACTTCACGGATCAACTCGAACTCCGACTCCAAATTACTCGACCAAACTTCCCTAATCACAACCGGCTTCGAATTCGTCTGTGGATCTTCAAATCCCATGACTCTAAAATCAAAATTCAAA